GCTCCTAATAAATATTGTCTCCATTTGGCAACGCCACTAGTAATAGCAAACATTTCGCGTATGTAGGTTGATTTCTTCTGCATTGCCGGGGATAGTTTCCTGCTGTAGAACGCAATAGGTCTGTCATTTTGCATTAATACTGCTCTGATTCCAACACCTGATGCATCTGTTTCTAAGATAAATGGAATTGAGAAATCGGGTAGAATCAGAATAAGTGCTGTGGTGAGTAATAGCTTCAACTTGTCAAAAGTCGCAGACTCCTTGTCTCCCCATTTGAATTCTGTTTTAGAGGTTAAGTCTGATAGAGAAGCAGCTATGGTGGCAAAATGTTTTATAAATCGCCTGTAATATCCAGCCAAGCCTAGGAAAGCCCGTACCTGAGTCACGTTCTTAGGTGGTGTCCAATTTGTGATTGAACTAATTTTTTCCGGGTCTGGTGATAAACCTTTCCCAGATATAATGTGGCCTAAAAACTGGATTTTCTCTTTGGCAAACAAACATTTAGACTGTTTAGCAAAAAATGAGTGTTTCTGTAGAGTGGATAAGACCGTCAGTAGGTGTTCCTTATGTGCATTCAGTGTTGCGCTGTATATTAAGATATCATCAAAGAAAATTACCACAAATTTCCTTAAAAATGCTGAGAAAACCTCATTCATAGTAGCTTGGAAGGTAGATGGTGCATTGGATAGCCCAAATGGCATCACGAGGAATTCGTAGTGGCCATGGTGTGTGCGGAAGGCTGTCTTGTGAACGTCAGATGCATCCATGAGTATTTGGTGGTAGCCTGATCGTAGATCGAGTTTGGAGAAAATTGATGCTCCATGTAGTTCGTCCAATAATTCGTCTATGGTAGGAATTGGGAACTTGTCCTGCACCGTGATTGCATTTAAGGCTCTATAATCAATGCAAAAGCGCCACGTTCCATCTTTCTTTTTTACTAGTATGACCGGTGAGCTATAGGCGGAATTACTTGGGCGGATTATTCCTTCTTTCATCATCTCTGTGACCAGCTTCTCAATCTCATTTTTTTTGGTAATGTGGATACCGGTAAGGCCGTACTTATATTGGTTTTGTGTTGGGGAAAAGGTGGATATGGTGGTTTGTTGGTCTATGTGGTGGGAGTTTAGTGGGCTTGAGGAATACGTCCTGGAAATTGGTTAGGATGGGTGAGATGGTGTGTGGGATTGTAGGGGTTGGGTCTGTATGTGGGTGGGGTGTTGATGCCGTCATGCACATGAGATAGGCTTGTATTGGTTCCTGGGCTATGAGTTTGTGTAATTGGGAGTTGGTAATTGCGGAAGGTGTTAGACTGGTATTCCCTTGAAGAGTGATGGGTTTGGAGTGGTGGGTAAAGGTCATGGTCAGTGTTTGGTAGTCTGTTAGGACTGGTCCTAAGGTTGATAGCCACTGTATGCCTAGGACAATATCGGCGCCCTGAAGTTCTAGCACAAAAAGGACGATGTCAAAAACGTGTTGATTCGGGAGAGTAATACGAACCTTAGTACACATCCCTTTGCAGTATAGGTTGTCCCCGTTTCCCACTTGGACCTTGAATGGGTTGATGGACTGGATGGGTAAGTGCAAGTGATTTGCAGCGCGTTCTGTAATGAAGTTATGGGTGCTGCCATTGTCTATCAGTATCTGGACAGCTGTGCCTTTAACTGTGCCCGTTAGTCGAAATGCCTTGGTGGAGTGGTGACCAAAGAGGGCATTGAAACTGATTTCTGGATACGCAGGGATGTCAGGAATAGGTTCTTCCTCTGTTTCCTCTGCATGCGCAATCTCTTCATCGGTATCTACTAATATGCACATAAAGGTAGAACCTTGTTTGCATTTATGGCCAAAAACATACCGTTCGTCACAGTTGTAACATAGACCCTTTTCTCTTCGTGCCATCATTTCAGTTTGGGTGAGCTGCCGTATTGGTACGGAAGTTGACTGGGGTGTTGGTGGTTTGCCGGGTTGAGTGATGGTGTTAGATTGGTTACGTTGTCCCTACCGTAGTGTGCGATCCTCTGCTTCTGCGAAATTGCGTGCAAGGCCCCAGGCAGCATGGAAAGTCTCGGGTAAATGTGCTTGCACATCACTACGCACCTTTGGTTTTAGCCCCGAGATAAACATGTTTTTTCGAAGGCCGTCTGTTATGCCGTGTACTTTACTTGACATAGTTTCGAATGTCGCTTGGTAGTCACGGACCGATCCTGTTTGGGTCAGCCGGCATAATGCTCCTGCTGGATCCTCATAAACTGTTGGGCCATATCTGTTGATTATGGCTATCCGAAAGTCTCTCCAGGTTGCAATTAGTCCTTCGCGAGACAGATTGTGGTACCAGCTTAAGGCTGGTGGATCTAGGTGGAAGGCGGCCAGACGGAGCTTCTCCGGTTCTGTGATTGAATAATATTCAAAATACTGGTCTACTGCGAATAACCAGTCTGTAGGGTCTCCTTGGGAAAACCGAGGGAATACAAGGAGGACCGATTTTGGCCGGTTCAGATCTGTACGTGGTGTACCTGGCCCAAGAACGCTACCTGAAGGTTGGTTGTTGCGCTGGGCTTCGAAGATAGCGGATATTTCGCGCTGGAACTGATCGAACCGGTGGTCTAGTTGCTCCTGGTTGGAGCGTTGCATCTGCATCATGAAGGTTTGCCGGTCCTCATTTGCGGATGTTATGAACGTAGTTAGCCGTTCCTCAACAGCGGTGATATGATCTTGCAGCTGAGCCATGCGGGTAGTCTTTTCAGCCATGGAGGTAAGTTCAGGAATGAAAGCACCAAAATGTAGGAAGATGAAGGGTAGTAGGAGAAGGAACGAATCGAGAAGATTGAGAAGAGAGGGAGATAAGAAAATTGTCAAACAACTCTATATCTTATTGAGGTTTGCTTTGCAATATTTAAAGAAGGTGCACATCCTAATCTAGAATTCAAATAACGAAAGTTGTTGAAACAACCAATCTTAAAATTACAAAGGAAAATAACAAATCCTAAAAATAGGGATATAAATAACTAATCTCCTAATTATAGTTAAGCTGCATGTTTATTGGAATTTAAATCAGAACAATTTGCAATGCTGGGCTTGGATCATGTGAGGTAGTCATCCAAGTGTTTTGGGCTGATCCGCGTGCGTTTGGGTTGTGTCCTGGTGGGCTGGGTCACAACAATCACAAATGTATCAAAAAAAATAAAAAATAGATAGGATCACAAAGATGCTCTTGATCAAATTTTTAACACAGTTATGTACTTGAGAATTTGAGATTGAATTGAACTCGATCACTAGTATGTTGAAATAAACCCTATCAAGTAATTCACAATCTTATAATAACAGCGTTAATTTTAAAAAGTTAATTTTAATATTAAAACAAAAATATAACTTGTCTAAGTCAAATTATGAATCTAAAATGATCTCATTTGATCAAAATTTTATCTAAAAAAGAGTACAAATATTTTAAAATAAAATATGGGGAATGATTTATTTACAAATTTTTTTTTTTTTACAAATTACACTATGTACTCCCGAAAGTACATTATTAACTGGGTGTATTTTCGAAAGTACATAGTGTAGTTTGTAAGAAAAAAATTATAAAGATAACTCTCCTCATAAAATATTATACATATACATAAATTCACAATAATTACAAGTTTCAAAAGGAGAAATCAGTTTAGTCTACGTGATTGAATTGTACGTGATGTTATAGTCTACTATTATACAAATATTTTAAAATTAATATCATTAAACTTAAATAAATGTAGTGATAAAAAATAAATAAAATTGTAAAGTTTCAAAAACTAATAAAATTTACATGTTGAAAATTAAATTAAAATAAGATTAATCTAAATCATGTTCCATGTAATCATGGACATGCTTAACTTGTCCGGTCTAAATCAAGATCAAGTAGAGGCCACAAAAATAAAAATCGGTGCACGATATGATCATAAAGGACAGCATGGCAGCAATTACAAGGGTTGGTTTCCCACAGGACTTAATTATAATGTGGCAAAGCAGGAATGGTTTGAAGTGATGAAAAAATAGGGAGGTTGAAGGTGTCACAACTTTAGGGCAATATGATCATTGTTGAAAAGGACCATAAAAGGGAAAGAGTACATTCACTAGAGGAAGAACTAAGCACGTCCTCCATTTGGTATGATGTTGTTGGCCATCAATTGACACCACCGTAAAATGTACTCATAACCCCAATTGGATTGTTCCCCCTTCCTCCTTTTACTCTTCTTTTGAATTTTCCCTTATGGGGAGGTTCTTAAAAGTTAAATATAAGGAAAACATTATTTTCATATTACATAAAGATAAGTTTTTTTCTTACACATTTTTTGATAATTGTATCACATTTTTCTTTTTCTTTTTTATTTTTTTAAATGGTGGAGTTCATAAATTTATCTATGTGACATGAGATAATATATCTCTTTTAAGATGAAATTAATAAAATTCTAAATATAAAGCTCAAATTAGCCTCTAACCCCTTCATAGAAAATTAGTTCCCTTTGGGGCTTTTGCCCTTTGTCTAGTTTAAGATAGGGAAAAAAGTATCTAATGTTACTTTAGATAACTTTGTCTAATGTTCATTGAAACGACGTCGTTTTGGAGTTGAAAAATAAAAAAATTAGAATGATAAAGACTATTATAACCCTGAAATAAATTAAAATTACAAAAACACCTTGATTTCCGTCCCAAAACGATGTCGTTTCGATGAACATTAGATAAAGTTATCTAAAGTAACTTTAGAAAAAACAAATATATTAAGATAGTAACAGTTTGCTATAATACGCACTAATACACCATGGTGCGCATGATTGCATGAATCAACGGTGCACATTGCCCCAATAAAAAAGCTAGATGAAACACACACTCTTCTCTCTATCTCTCTCTCTCACTCTGAAGGGTAAGCATGGAAAGAAAGAGCTTAATCGTAGCTTAAATATCAGAACTCTTTTTCGGTTCAATTCTCATTGTTTTTAAAGTCTAAAACTCTCTGAACTTCGAAATCTCTGTAACCATATTCGCCAACCCCTTTTGAGTATCGCTTCTTTGTTTGCAAATTCCTTCGCATTTCCAGAGAAATTCACCCTCAACACTTTCACATGTCGTCGGATATAAGCTAGATTAATTGCCACCTTTTTCTCACGCTTCCCTATTGGAATCTATCTACCTTCAAGAACCAAGGTGTTTGTTTACATGCACGTTATTCGATGACTAGTTGCAAGATTTACTACGTTAAGTCCAGTGCTGCAGTTTTTGTTTTCAGTGTAATAGTAGGTTTGGTTCTGTTTTAACGATTGTGAAGCAAAGTTCGAAGCTTTGGTTGGTGGGGTGGTGGAAATTTGCGTTGTGAGTGATGGGTGCGGATCGTCTGCTACTGCCAACAGTTGGACCGCCATTAAAACGGCGAGCTGGTTTGCGGAGGAAGCAGGCTGGAAGAGGGTCTTACAGGGGGAGCTAGGTCAACGTTGTGATTTGTGTGGGATTGGAAAGTTTTTTGTTGTTTTTGGAGGATTAATTGACGACCCTTTTTCTTTGGGGTGCTTTCGAGGTGTCAAAGTTTCTAACTTCTAAAGGGGAAGAAGATGGGTACCAACTTGCACCAAGTACTCAGAAGCCTCTGTTTCAATACTCATTGGAACTACGCCATCTTTTGGAAGCTCAAACGTCGTGCTCGAATGTATGTTACTGTTATTGTTACTAATATTATTTATTTCTCCTTCTCTTTGAGACCTATATGCATTGTATCTTTCCTTTGGTGTGTCTTTGTATCTACCCTCGTTTTCGATGTTGACAACTCAGATTATGTTAAATGAGGTGAAGTTGTAGTTTTGTGTTATTGCATCCTTTGATCTGAAATTTGACTTGGCCACTTCACGTACCGGGTTAATTTAATTGGTTGTATATCGTGAGATATATATAAAATTATTAATATAGTCTAACCAACAGCTTAAGTTTTTTGGTTAAATTAATTCTTTATATGGTATCAGAGCTTCTTCAGTGTCTCGGGTTCAATCCTCGTGCCTAATGCATCATCCACCTTTCAAAGTCCAATGGGCTCTTTTGTGAAGGGGCTTGTTAGAGATATATAAAACCATTAATATAGTCTCACCCACCAGCTTAAGCTTTTTGGTTGAATTGGTTATTTATATATATATATTTTCCAGTTTTCACCTAATATTATTCAGATTCTATTATGATTTTTTTATCAACTTTTAGTGTGAAAATTTTCATTGATTTTCATCCGTGTATTTTGTCCTTCTAAGTTTGGTGATTTCCATGTTTGTTTAGAATTTGAGCGTTTTTAACTAAGAAGAGCATGTATCGTGTGTCTAGGCTCTAGAATCGATATAATCACAATATTTTAATGAGTTTTTGCTCTTGGATGTTGACTATTTTGGATTAAGGAAAATATTGTGTTCTAAAAGCGTCTTGTTTGATGAATTGTAATTCTTATTGTCTATTGAAAATGCTTTATGTTACTTTCATTGTAGCTTATTTGAAATGGGATAAGGGTTGCATTTGTTGGCCTTGTCATCATTCATTTTGTATTAAGTGTAGTTGGTGGTAAACACATTACTGTTTAGTGATATAAGTTTGCACGTATTTTGGCAATTCGTTTGTTGGTTAAAGATGTACTTAGCATAAAGAGTTATATTACATAATACATCCCTTAAACTTTCTGGCTTGCAGGATCTTGACATGGGAGGATGCTTACTATGACAATCTTCATGATTATGACTCTTCAGGGAACAAGTACTGCCAGAAGACCTTGGAACAGATTGGTAGTAGTCAATTTTCGTATGACGCTATAGGGTTAGCTGTGGCAAAGATGTCATATCATGTATATTCGATAGGGGAAGGGTATGACTAATCATATGTAACATTGGCACTATTTAAGATTAGATATTCTTTTATGTGACATTTATCCTAATATCCTATCTTTATAGTATTGTTGGACAGGTAGCTGTTACTGGAAAGCATCGGTGGATCTGTGCAGATGATCAAGTTACAGGTTCTGGCTTGTCTTTTGAGGTGAGGATTCTTGTTATTCAATGTTTCACTGATGATCTTTCAGCCTTCGAAAGTTTAAAGTTCTCTAATTGGTACCAGATAGTATCATGTCATTATCTGACCAATCTTCCAATCATTCTCATTCCTTTGCCCCTTTTTTGGTTTAATTTTCAGTTTGCTGATGGGTGGCAGTCTCAGTTTTCTGCTGGAATCAGGGTAAGTTAACTGATTTACTATTAACATTCGTGGGCATCAAAAACTTGAAGAATGAGCTTTCTATTTCTACCCAGAAATTAGAATTACCTCATCACTAAGCCACTAGGATTGATCTAGTGTCCAGGGATGTGGGTAGTTTGTATGAAGTTACAGGTTTGAATCTCAGTACCACCATTGTATCCAAAAAAAAAAAAAAAAAATTGCCACAGAACTCAGATTACTAAAACTAAGGATAATGGATGAGTATATTTGGAAAACTGTGATTAATATGATAATAGACTCAATATGACAAATTATCAAGCCACTGCAGGACTCTGGCTTATATTCTCATTTCACTAGATTCAACCAAACTGCATTGCAACCGTACTATGTTGGATCCATTCTAGTGCACTTTGTTTTGGAAAACTAGCGGTTCTCTTTTAGAAGATAATTTCCAAGTCTGAGTCACTGTACTTTGTTTCTATTAAGATTTTTCATTAATAAAGCTCTTTTCCTTGTAGACGATTGTTGTTGTAGCTGTAGTCCCACTTGGTGTTGTTCAGCTGGGCTCTCTAAATAAAGTAAGATGAGTATTGTCTTCTTTAGTTTTATTTGTTCTGCTTGAGCACCATGTTGTTGGTTAATGTGGTTCAAGAAAGCATCTATTATCTCTTTACGATGCTATGCATAAAAGACTTAGTATTCAGGATTTTAAAATTTATTCGCACTCTTTTGCTTCGGTGTATCATAACTATTTAGATAGCATGACTTGCTTGTATTTGTTCTCCATCTTTCTTTAATTGCCGACTGTTGATTGAGATATTGGTTAAATACTTTTATAATCCTAATTATACACACGTGCTAGGTAAATATGCGTATGTAATTTAGTTCAAAACCTTAAGAGAAATAGGTGAGAAAGTTGGTGCCTTTGGTTAAATACTTCTATAATCCTAATCATACACCCTTGCTTTTGGTGTCTTTTTGTCTTCTTTTTTCTATGATTTTGTTGCCTAAATTGGCAGAAAGTTGATTACTTAATCTGGAATTAGCTGATCAGTTTTTATTAGGGACTCGTGCCTAATTGCTTCTCTTTCTCACTGGAATACTTTTATGAGCTTAACATGCAAGTTTTTAGTTCTAAAATCTTATAGGTCTTGTGCTTAATTTTCTGTTTATAATGTAGTTGAATTTTTATTTTCTCTTGCCATGAGCTATTCTATGATTTTGATGGATTTTAGAAAATTTCCTGTATGAGTTTATATGGAAGTCCCTTTATTATTGAAATATTTAATAATTCGCGCCTCTTCTGCCATCTCTGGTAGCAGGTGGTTGAAGATATGGGGGTTGTAACTCATATCAGAAATCTTTTTTTGTCTACGCAAGATTACTCAATAGGCCATGTTTCTAGTCAAAGACAGACTAGTTTGAAAAATTCTTCATCTCTGGTAAGCTTCTGATTTCTTTCTCTCCATATGCCTGTATCTGCATGCTGCATGAAAGTCCAAATATGAGTAGGCAAGGGGTCTGTGTGACCATTGGCATGGGCATTTTTGCACATACTTATATAGCAAGCAAGTGGAGCTATGTCATAATTACTTTTAACCCAGATGCATTGATCATTATCATGAGGTTTGCATTTCTTACTTTTTTCAGCCGGATGTATTGAAAGGAAAATTTTGTTCAGATATTATGCCTGCTTGCTTACATGATACAGAGAAAATCATGAAGAGTGAAACAATGGACGTTTCAATGCCCCTTCAATGTTCTGGGAAGAACTATTCACCTCATTCTGCGTATGAGAAAATGGCTGGTAATATGGCCAAGCATGACGGACCTGAATTTTGCGATGATGAAAGTTCCATTTTGCTTCAGTCGATATCCAATATGATGAATATGGAGCATAAGGAATTTGAAGAGATGAGACCTCTAAATAGGAGGAAGTGTGAAGGGGGCAGTAGTGGCTCCAAAGATATGAGGTTGGAATTGAAAAAAAGTATCTCATCATTTTTACACAACTCTGTTAGGGATAATGCTAGCTTCAATGATTTAACATGTCTGTCAGAAAAAGTCAGACTTGATTCCGTTTGCTTTCCTTCAGTTTTTTTTGATGCGCTTGTTTGTGAAAGTGATGAGTTGCATTATGTGGATATTAACCATAAAGGGGTGTTGAATTTCGCCAGACCTTCAGATGCAAACTCCCAAAAGCATATAAAAAAGTCAAAGTTTAAGACTGAGCCTAGTGACAAGGATGCCTCATACAAGTTGAAGTTCCCTGCTGGCTGTGAGCTACACGATGCACTTGGACCAGCTTTTTTGAAAGGAAGTAAATATTTTGATTGGGTGGCACAGGTTAATCAAGATGCGAAAACTGTGGATATACAAGATGAGATTAGTACCAGCCAATTGACTTCTGAATCTCGTCCAGAGCATCTTTTGGAAGCAATGATGGCCAACACTTGCCATAGTATTAATGATATTAATAGTGAGTTATCATTTTGTGCATCAATGCAATCTGCATTGGCCTCTGGAAAAAATGCTGAAGCTTCTATTCACAATGTGCATATTGTGGATTCAGAAGGCTGTTCAGTGGACCAGCCCTCTCTTGTCAGAGAGGACAAACACTATTGTCTGAGTTCATCATCAGGGATATGTGGTGTTATGTCCCCAAAAGGTGTTTCATCTACATGTCCTAGTTCATATAGTGAGCAGTTTGAAAGGTCTTCTGAACCAGCTAAGAACAGAAAGAAGAGGGCTAGGCCTGGGGAAAGTTGTAGGCCTCGTCCAAGGGACCGGCAACTGATCCAAGATCGTGTTAAGGAATTGAGAGAGCTGGTGCCAAATGGAGCAAAGGTATCTTGCTATAATCTGTTTGCTATCCGTCTTTTGGTTTTGATTTTATGATGGTTGCAGTTCTGGTTCATGCAGCTAAATTTTTTAATATATCTTCAACAGTGCAGTATTGATTCACTACTGGAGCGCGCAATAAAGCACATGCTCTTTCTCCAAAGCATAACTAAGCATGCTGACAAGCTAACTAAATTTGCTGATACAAAGTCAAAGGTAAGGTTTAAGGGGTTTTGGGAAATGCATTCTCTGGTCCATGGTCTATAAATAAATTAACCGAGTATATTTCTGATCAAGTAGGGATCAATATTTGAACTTTAAAGATATGCATACCTACCTGATTATGGTTAATGACAAATTAACTGATTTCTCTCTCTGGTTTAATACCAAAGGAAAACAATGACATTTTCTTCTTTTCCTTAACATGTTCCCATTGGTCATACTTCAATTAGACCATAAGATTTTATTTATTTAATTGCTACATAGGATAGCAAGTTTTTGTGTGCAAAGGACCCATTCAGAAACTGTTGCTTTACTTCCATCCAACATTTTCTGCATGTGGACTTATCTCCATTGTTTAACACTAGTGCAATTTTGCAGTTGCATCACATTGAAACAGACATTCTTGGATCCTCTAGTTATGAGCAGGGTTCAAGTTGGGCAATGGAGGTAGGGGGTCATCTCAAAGTTCATTCAATATTAGTGGAGAATCTTAGCAAGAATGGACAAATGCTTGTTGAGGTATGTATGTATGACTTAAAAATTACAACTTGAGTTATAATGATTGATTATAAAATTATAATAGACAAGTACAATAGAAAAACTCCTCCTGACGAGAAATAGTGCTCATAGTCAAATACCAATAATCAGCTACTGAGTATGCTCTCTATTCTAATTATGGCTTTTGTTGCAGATGCTCTGTGAGGAGTGCAGCCATATTCTTGAAATAGCAGAAGCTATAACAAGCTTGGGCCTTAAAATTTTGAAGGGCGCTACAAAAGCTCATGGTGAAAAGATCTGGATATGCTTTGTTGTTGAGGTAGGATCAGAACTAGATTGTAAGATTTATTTTCTATGCAGTTAAACCTACTTACTACACTATTTACTTATTCATAGGACTGAAGAACTTACATAAAATTACTGGATACTTGGTCTATAACTTCATTAAAAATATGTTGCAAAATTATTGCATACAAATTGTTGTGAAGTCTTTCTTATATACAACGGCAACTTTATATAAACCTTGTACATTCCATAAGAGCTTTATGTAGTGAAGTTCTAAATAATTATGCTTAAGTCATGGCTGCAAGTCCTCTTAGTATTTAGCAATTGTTGTTGATGAGCAAATTGTCTGTGACAGGGTCAAAACAACAGAAATGTACACAGATTGGATATCTTGTTGCCACTTGTTCAAATACTGCAATCCAAGACCACTATGTGTTCACAATAAGTGGTTGATTCCTGGGAACTTGGTGGCCCTTCGTTGGCTACTGTAACTCATTCTTGATCTCTGAAATGATGCTCAGAATCTTCTATTCTCTACAACATTTCTAATTAGTGTGTTAAGACTCCGCTTGCTGGTTTTCTTATGTTTTTGTTGGAATATGTGATTGTCATTTGTTAGGTCTGACATTGAAAACAACACAATGCGCACATCTTGGTGTCACTTTTTTATGTTTCAGACTTAAACCAAAGGATGTCATTTGATGCAAAAAAAATTCTCTCTCTTCAACCACTTCCCCCATTCTCTCTCTTTCCTCTTTCCATCATGTTTGGCTTATTACTATCCAATGGTTACTATCCAATATATATAGATTAAATCTAACTTCACCTAGGGGTGTAAAATGCATCACATTGTCTATGAGGAACCTAAGTCAGGTCAAGTCTAATATATGAGCTTTGATTTTCTTATGAGAATTCTTTGCTTATGTTGTGACTTAACTAATAGTGAATTTCACATTTATTAAAAAAAGAAAGAAAAAAAAAAGCTTTGCATGAAAATCGATCGATCACAACATGAGAAAATATTTTTCATCCAATATGAGAAGTGTTTTTCCCTTAATATATATGGTAAAATAGAATAACTTCTGGCCTAAAAAACTTTTTTTATAAAATGTGCTGTAGGTCTATTTTTATAAGGCTTGATCTATAGGCTTATATTATACTATTTATGTTATTTAAAATTAATTAATTAATTATATAAATACTTTTGATTAATAAAATAATATTATTTAATTTAATTTTTAATGAATATTGAAGTCATAGCAGTCATTATTTGACATAAGCATTATAATAAAAATAATTTGTTAAAAAAATTTAGATTTACTATTTATTTTATCAATGCACCAAATATTATGAATGCATTATTCATATCATATTTATAAGATCGCGAGATTTTTTTTATTAGAAGAATTAGATCACAAAATTTCTTAACTATTAGCCATCATAAAAGATCTATGTCTACCTTCAAAACTTTACATAATTTTGATAATAAATCCTCTCATGTCTTATTTTAAGATGATTATATCATGCGAAAGATTTCAAGCATTTATTCATAGATTAATGGTCGGCAATAATTTTCACTTTTTCATTTTACAAACTTCATTGTTGAAAATATGACATTAATCTGCCTATTTTTATAAGGCTTGATCTACAATAGGCTTATATTATACTATTTATTTTAATTAAAATAAATAAAATAATTACTTAAATAGTTTTAGTTAATAAAATAATTTATTTTATTTATTTTTTCTAATTCTTAATAAATGTTGAAGTCGTAGCATTTTTTTTTTTTGGTAAACAAAGTCATAGCATTTAACATCAGTCATTATTTGACATAAGCATTATAATAAAAATAATGTTAATTTAGATTTACTATTTATTTTATCAATGCACCAAATATTATGAATGCATTATTCATATCATATTTATAAGATAACGAGATTTTTTTTTTGGTAATCCATAACGAGATTTTTTTTTATTAGAAGAATAAGATCACAAAATTTCTAAACAATTAGCCATCATAAAAGATCTATGTGTAATGATATATTTTTAAAAGAATAAAGATCTATTATTTTTTTTACATAATTTTGAGAATAAATCCTCTCATGTCTTATTTTAAGATGATTATATCATATGAAAGATTTCAAGCATTCATTCATAGATTAATAGTCAGCAATCAAAATGATAATTTTAATTTTTTTTATTTTACAAACGTCATCATTGAAACTATGACATTAATCTATAAATAACTGAATGAAATCTTTCACATCCTAGAATCTATTCCCTAATTAAAATATGATTTATATTTTTGTGGAATAATGCTGAAAGTGCATAGAAAAATAAATAAACAAAAGGGTTTAAAGTTTTTAAAGTTATTTTAGATAATTTTATTTAATGTTTACCAAAATACATATATAAAAGTGTGTCCATGTTTCCTTTTTCTCTCTCTTTTCTTCACATGTGTTCACATGGATCCTCACACACTTTGACACTAAATCTTAAACGTTGATTTTTGTAAATCTAACGATTATAATTTATTAGAAATTTATAATTAATTAATAAATGTGACCCAATAAATAATAACCGTCAATCTGACAAAAATTAACGGTTAAAATTTGATGTCAAACTTTTTAATTTGATACCGATGCCAAAGGATCATGTTCCTATAAAAATAACAAAATACATAATTTCTATAATAAGGATTTTAAGCACCTTTTTATAGACCAATCACAAATCAATTCAAAATTTTAAATCCTAAAAATAAGAAAAATTCTTCAAAATAAATATAACAGTAGTTACCTTCTAAAAATAAAATAAAAACTTAAAAATAATTAATTAACTTATTGTCCTATAATTCCAAATCCAAAACACATTTGCAATCTTAGATTCCAAATCAAACCAAATTTATTACTTTCCAATTTTTTTTCTAATAAATTACAATAAAATCTGTTGCTTCATTTGTATCAAGATTTGGTTGTAATATATAAGATTTCAAAATACTACTATTTAACCCCACCTTTCTTGAATTAGCTCATTAATTGCTTGCAGCCTTGTACCATGTATAATAGACCAACTCTATATGCATCTTGAATCAATCCATCATTTTTCATGACTAAGTTTAGAATTTTTTTTGGTGAAAACTAAGTTTAGAATTTTGGTGATCTTATTCTGGCATTTTCACCTTTTTGCCCCTCATTAATTATTTAATAATCATTTTGCCCCTGATTGGAAACTATCTACCAATCTGCCCCTCTTTAATCGACTACTTTGCATGTTTAATCGACTAAATGGTTGTTGGAAGATTTAATCGACTAAATCTCCCTACTTAATCGATTAAAATCATACTGACTTTTTTTGTTGTTGTCAAATATGGAGATTTAGTCGACTAAATTGGGAGATTTAGTCGACTAAATTGGGAGATTTAGTCGACTAAATCTCCCAACAACCATTTTTTGTCTGTTTTGGCCATTTAGTCGATTAAAAATGCAAGGTAATCGATTAAAGAGGGGCAGATTGATAAATAGTTTCGAATTAGGGGCAAAATGATTATTAATTAATTAATAAGGGGCAAAAGGGTGAAAAAGCCTCTTATTCTTCTACTTAAAAATAAATAAATAAAAACAACTTTGTAATCTTATGAATGGGATGTGAAATGTATTCATAGCATTTTGCACATTTATAAAATAAATAGTAAATCTGAGTTTCTTTAACCAATTACTTTTTTGGGAGTTATTAATCTTATGTCACATAAGATAGGTATTTTATGTGAGTGAAACAAAGTTGTGGGGCCCAAAATTTTTAAAAAAAAAAAAGAAAAAGAAAATATGGGCACAAGATTCTATGAGTGTGCAACATAAGACAATTATCTTATGTGACATAATACAACTATTTCCCTACTTTTTTAAGTATATTGGATGGGTTTTATTTATGTCATGTAACAGTAAAATTACATTGTCTCCTACCCTCACATTGATAAATGGGCTACCCTTTATTTTATTTTATTTTCCTCTCACCTGGTGGGTCCCGCTTCTGAACGAGTGTCTAGAAATAAGATTTTGTTTTCTTGTTACTTGATACTAATAAACCCTATATTGGATATATGTGCATTTTGTTGCATATTACTCGCTACATATTCCTCAGCATTTTGGATAATATTCCAAGCCTTGCACGATTTCAAAATCAAAGTGGCATTGATATCTGTCGTCATATCTTTAAATAAGTAAACCGAAACCACGTAATCATATAATTTTGCTTACAATAACATCTGTCCATAAATATATATAATCCACGCGAGACAGATGCTACATCTACAATACTGGTAGGAGATTTGTTCCGAACCAGACCAACACCCAAGCCAAGGCCTGGGGAATTGAAGAATGGCATTGAGCAACCAGGAAACAACCCGAGAACCCCTTGCAAAATGAATCTTCAAATTGCGGCTACTAATAGGTTTTTGTTTTGGGAGCCTTCTTCTTTGGTTGTCTTCTAGGAATGGAATTTTTCATCCCAATAAAAACCAACAAAGCACCAAAGAGAGCCATATTCTGCAAAGAGTAATAATATTTGATAAACAATTGCAGCAATAGATGAAGTAACATTGTGACAACAGCTTGAATTTGGGCATGCTGATATATATATATATATATATATATATATATATATATTAAGAACCCACTGCTCTGACCTGTGTAAATTTGAGGAAAAATGGAGTAAATTCTTTGTCCTCACTGTCATAATTGTAGAAATCATACAGTATCGGAGTAGCAATCATCTGATGCAAAAGCTACAGGGAGAAAAGCCATAGCTTAAAAAACTGAACATTTGAGATGAAAGCCAATTTCAATTTCATAGAGAAAAGTAAAAATACAAACCAAAAGGAAAGCTCCAAAAGAGCTGCCAAATATGAAGAGAATCCCTCCAATGCCCTTGAGAGCAATAGCCCCAGCAACTAATAATTTCATCTGTTCATCACATCAATTATATAAGTAAGTGTTCTAGCGTACAAAACAAAGTAGTAGGCATGCAAAAATGAGTACTTGATCAGATGCAGGGACATGTTGATAAAAGTACGCACTATATGCAAGTAATGATGCATGAAAATTCAATTATTTTCCACTCTGATGTTTCATAACTTTCCCACCGCCTGCCCCTGCCTCCACCCATTTCACTTTTCAAAACAGTTATAAGATTTTTTTTTAAACTATTTTTCTTTTTACTTTAATGATTCATGTCCAACACAAACACAATCATATCGCCTGCTGAGAACCCAAAATTGAGTATGGGAAAGCAGTCAAGCAACACTAATCAGTAAGTCTCAAGGCCAAGGCCAAAATGACATGCCATATATTGGTTAATACTTTGTTCATACTACACGATAGTCTTATTTAAATCTGTGCAATTACGAAGGCAAAAGCATTATTAAATACCCCGGTGGATGTTTCATCAACCATTAACAACACCCAACATAATAACAGAAAAATGCAATAACATTATTAAATTCACAAGCAGTCTCCAACTCCAAGCCACACTCTTATTTAATTTAACCACCTTGTCCTCATTCTTCTGTTTCTATCTAAGAACTTTCTTTTTATCTGTTTTGTTGTGTTTTAATCATGCTTTCCAGAAACGAATATTGAGCAAGAGAACGAGAGACTAACATCAATTTCAGGAATTTGAAAGCCAACTCGAGAATGGACTTGATATATAAAGGTATCAAACTTTGGTCTGATTGCTTTTGCTGCAGGTCCCCCATCAACTCCATATTCATTAAATCTGTATCAGTATAAAAAGGAGGGAGGAAAAATAAACAAAAGCCAGAACATAAAGTAACAATCGAGTGCTTCCAGAATTAAAATGTCAAATGGAAAGAATTTTCAACTTCTAATTTCTGATGAAATGTAAACAGAGAACAGTAGCAAGCAACAGTAACACCATCAACTTTCCAAAAAGTATAATGAATAAGCCTTGAAATCAGGCACTTATTGAATATGAGATATCCAATTTTATTAGAAATTAAAAATGGCAAAGTATAGAAAAGAAAGGGCCACAGTCCAAAACAAAGAAGGCCACTTCATTCAGAAGGCATACAGTCCACTAGCAACGGAAATCAGAAATTCAGTGTGAAATATAGATCCTACATTTTGTCTCCCTCAATCCCAAAACAAAGACAAACAAAGTACAAACGCTCTCTGTTACTTGATATGAGATAAATCTCATGAGGGTGCCCCAAACAGGATAGCGTCAAGGTTTAACAAATGAAGACCAAATGTTTATACACGGATGTATCCCCCCACCCAAGATATAGTTATTTTTAGCTCAAGGACTTATTATACTCAAGATCTGCATAATGGTCAGTTTGTTACACTAAAACACTTACTAAAAAAAGAGATTGAAAACTTCAGGGATGAGTTTTATTTGAAAATTTGAATTTTGATTGAAATTCAGCTACTATTAATCAACTAAAATTGACATTGATTTCCCAGTTTCACAAATAACACATTATAAACAAAAATAAACAGATAAATACCCTCTATAATATCACAACTTACAAGTTACTTGACAACCAACAACAATTGCATGGTTCCCAGCTTACTTAGTAATTCGTAACAACATATAACAGCACACAAGGCCGTTGATGTTCATTTTTAAAGCATTAAAACAATTCTATAACCTCAGCAGTAATCATCAAAGATTGCAACAACACTACAATAACAGCAATTATAAACCAATCATGCAAGAGGATGATCTAACCATTATACTAAGGAAATAAATGCATGCATATAATAAATCTGATACCATGACATGTAAGAGAATCGCATAAAATATCATCAAAACAAACAAATAAATGAATTGTGGTTCCCTTTAGTTGAACAACGTTAAAAGCACAACTTATTCAGCCTCAAACGACAGAAACACAGATCTGCTCAGTCATTTTGCTCAGACAAGGAGTTCAAGCATTGAACATAACTGATCCAAGCAGGGTAACTACCACAACAACCGAGTCAGTAGAATAATGCTCACTAAAAAACCATAAATTTTCTGCAATCAAAAAAATCAATCAACATGCATAGATTAAAAATGAAAAAAAAAAAACGAAAAGAAAAGAATCAGCGCAGAATATGAACTAACTCTTGGTAAGCAGAGAGAATGAAAACGGAGGCGAAAAGGACTCTTCCAAGAAATGAAGCGAAGGCCATAACAATAGTAGAGAGAGAAAGCAAGAGAGAGAAAGAGAGGAAATCTAGGGTGCCCTGATAAATGCTATGGTTTTTCTTTTCCCGGTCAGAGAAGAGAGAGAGAGAAGGAGCGAGCGAAGCGAAAATTGAAAAACGAAAAGGGTGAAGAAGGGTAAATCGGTCACCTACCTTTCGGCGGCAATGGGCTAATTGTAATGGTAGAAGGGGCCCAATTGGCCGCATTTATTTATGGGTAATATAAGTAGCGAATTCTATTCTAGTTCTCCTTTCACTACATAAAGTTTTGGAAAAATTATTTTTTCTTTTTAAATAACATAATTTTTATCATTTCACTCTCACAAAGAATTAGGATCCATACTTTTATATTTTTTTGTCTATTCTCTTTTCTCCTTTATCTATCTCTTTCTTTCACTTCAAATGATACAATTTTACATTTTTTAAAATGATATACATTTTTTTGTAAAAAAAATCTGTAGCAATCGATTTAATTATGTACTCTTAGCAGTATATAATTATAATGGTAAAATAATTTATTTTTTCTTTTCGCCATGCCAATTTATAATGTCTACAAAAAAGAAAAAAAAACTTTATCATTGCAACATATATAGCTAGAATTGGTTGCTACAAAAAAAATTATTTGCAACAACAATAAAAAAATGTACCAAGTATCATGCGGCAGGACGAAAAAAAAATTCCTGGCCATAGATCGAAATTTGTGCTTATATGGTTTTTGTTTTTGGAGTTTGCATTTGTCATTTAACATGACACAACAAAATTTCTTACACACACAATATTTTTGCGGGGCCCACACTTTTTGAAGAAAAAAAATTAAGGCATGTAAAACGAATCTCTATAACATTACACAATCACTTTTTCTATAACATAACTCTTCTAAACCCTTTGTTTTTTTATCTTTTGATGGGTTTTGCAGACAAATTCCTTATGTCCCACTGGAGGGCTCATCAAGCCCTTTATTTACTTATTTTAACTTTATAAACCTAGTAGTACTAGTATTAGGTGTTGTTTGGTTGAGGAGATTCTGTAATTTTCCTAGGCAAATCAACTTGGGAATTCAGTTTGTCTTTGTTTGGTACGACAGATTTGGAAAGTTGCCCATCTATGCCATTTGCATGGTATTTGCTCATTTGATCGATAAAGCTAGACATTGGCACTGTTGAGAAAGAGAACTTGGAGATGGGTTTTTGTGGATATCTGTCTAACTTGAAAATTGCAAATTTAAAGCAACCGAAAATACCCTTCTAATATTATCTTGGTTTTGTGGTCAGCAACCCCCCACTTCTTACTTGGTACCCTATTTACACAAGCTGCAAGCTTTTCTATAACAATGCTTTCAAGCAGCTTCTTACTTGCAGAAACAATAACATACATCAAATAACAAAGAAACAACATTAAAAATATAGAACCAGACATGTTTTCTGTTAGCCCCTGTAATAATGTTCTTCTTGGTTTGGTTGCAGGAGATCCATCAGCATCAATAATGAGGCTGAGAATGCAGGTGTCAAAGAAATAGAATCTGGTGAGGAAGTTGAAGATTATTTCATCCCAGATATTCAATCACTTCTGCAGTTGAGGGAAAAATATTGCATTCAGTGTCTTGAGCTACTTGGAGAATATGTTCCCAAGAACCTGCTTCTTTGTTGGGAACAATGACATAGACAACGATGCTTGGGACTCCCTTCCATTCTGATGAAGCTACTGCTCTTTGCACGAGACTGGCTATGGCTACCTAATTTGGATCTGAAAAATAAGCAATTGAATTATAGAGAGAAATCGAAGAGAAGTGTATTGGGGTTAAATTTGTAATTTTATATCATTTACCCATCAATATTTTTTCCTAAACCAAACATAGGTTTTCAAAATTTTCATAAATTTTCCTGGTAAAATTTCATCCAACCAAACTACTTTTTTTTTAACTTCCCCATCTATTTAAGTTTTCCTGTAATTACATTTCCCTGGTGAACTAAAATATACTCGTGAATCAAACACCACCTTAAGGTTTTTTAAATAGTGTAATATGTTTGTTATGTTGCATGTACAATTTTTCTCATGCAACATAAATTTTTTTGCTGAAACCCACTACAAAAAAATATATAACCGAGTTTCATTCACTTTTTGTATGTGCATGAGATGATTTTGTCTCAAGCAATATGAGATTCATATTTCTATTTTATATATTAGCATAATTATATTTTTTTACTAATAAATATCAATTGGTATTGAGTTGATATTTACTATTCGATATTGATTGCCATATTACATACTACACCAAGCATGTGATTCAACTATTAAGGAATTTGTTCCAATTTATCCATTGGTTTCGAGTTCAAATTCCTAAGAATGTAGTTGTGTTAGAATTTGGTAAGAAGAGTTTTGTCACTCATGTAATCCTACACATCTCGAATCAAACTAGTTGAGTAATCGACAAACTGATGGATAATATAAAAAAAATATCACAAAAAAATAAAATTACTCATTTACACTTATACAGTACAAATCATTATCAATTATTATTTATTTATTTTCTTATTCATCTTTTAAAACATTTGAATTCAATAAAGGGTTCACTTTTTCTGCAGTTATTACAGATAACTTATCTGCAGTAAGCCCAATACGACGTCGTTTTGGGACGAAAATCATGGTATTTTTGTAATATTAATTTATTTTAGGGTTATTATATTCTTTATAATTATAATTTTTTAATATTTTAATCCCAAAACGACATCATTTTAAGAGTAAATGCAGATAATTTATCTGCAGTAACTGTAGAAATATTGTTCTGTTCAATAAAACCAACAAAAATATAGTTCTAGTGATGTATTTACAGTTGACTCATTGTATATGGCTCAACCATTTATTCAAGAAACTTGTAGTCAAACAGAATTATGACCTAATAAGTTTGACTCAATTGTTAAGCGAAGCAACTTACCAAAAAAAAAACAAGAAGAAGGAGTGATTTAAAATATAACAAATTGTGATCAAGTCTAAGTTAAAATAAAGCAACATATATGATTTGTTTGGAAAAAAAAACAAGAAAGTTGGCATGATTTGAGATATAAGATTTGGGATGTGTTTTAAATGATTTGATTATAATTATTTATTTATTGTTAGAAGTTAATTACCGTTATATTTATTTTAGGATTTTCCCTTATTTTTTTTTTTTTGGAAATACAATGAAAACTAAAGCAACATAAAAAAAAGCCCTATACTGGGCACAATCTTGGGAGACTAACTCCCCTCAAGTCATTACGAAGCAATTCCAAACAAGCCGTTGGAGGGACATCCAGCACAATCAGCTGTCCATCCTGATGAGGTGCATGAGTAGCAAGCCAATCAGCAACAAAATTGCCTTCTCTATAAGTATGACTAAGCTGAATAATCCAGTCTCTTTGAAGCATGCTACGAGCTCGGATGATTAAAGCAGAAAGAGGATGACTTACGTCACACCCTTTTCTTATAAATTCCAAAGCCACATTGGAGTCACCCTCCACAAAGACTCTCTTAAATCCCTTATGCCAAGCCAGATCCATACCTGTCAAGAACCCCCAAATTTTCGCTGAAGTAGAAGTACCACTCCCAAGGAATTTTGTAAAACCAGTTAACCAGTTCCCAGCAGCATCCCTTATGACTCCACCACAAGCAGTCCTTTGCCCACTGTCTATACTGGAACCATCCACATTAAGTTTAACATAACCCTCAGAGGGAAAATTCCAGTGAATAAGACGTTCCTCTCTTCTAAGCTCCTGATGACCAATTTTAATAAGGGTTTCATTAGCCAATTGAATATTACCACAAGTATAGGTAATGAGATTTTCCCTTATTTTTAAGATTTAAGATTTTGAACTTTGAATTAATTTATAATTAGTCTATAAAAGGGTATTTATGATCCTTATTGTAAGAGTTAAATTTTGTTATTTGGTTAATTAAAATTGAGAAACAGTTACTCTTTTATGAAATCTTAACTTTTTGTTCATCCACTTTTTTTTTACGTGAGTTCGGCATCATGTAGTTTCATAATTTATTTATTTTTTAATCATATCCTGTACAAAAATAAATTTATTATAAATTAAATATCATTGTATTTTATGGAAAAATATTTTTGTTGACATATAAAAATGTGTGGGTCAACATAATTGAAAATACCTTTTTTTGTCGCCTATGTTTAAAAATATTTTTGTACAATTCATGTTTTGTTAAAAAAACAATCGGTCACCATCGTACTTTTAAATTGTGTAATATTGCATTAAAAGTATATTTCTAAATAACGTATGTGACATTATTTATCTCTAGTTTTGCAAACGTATGTGACATAACGGATGTGACATTATCATTGTTGAATTTGGATCAAAATTCGACAATGATTAAGCCACAAGTCAAACGGTAAACTATTAAGATTATTTGTATGAATTATTCATATACGAATTATTCAGTGTTTTTTAGGCACATCGCATGAATTGTTTGGTTTAAACTTTAGTGTCATCGTTATAAAAAAATCATTAAAATTAATATATCAATTTATGTTGCGTTCAGCCCATTGATGCAACGGTTTACATCAATGTATTATTTGTTAGGTAAAATACTTTATTAGGCAGGTTTAATTGTCTTCGAAATTCGTCAAGTTGACTATGTACTCATTGATTAAAACTTTACACCCAAAAGATCAAACTCTTTGAAAACTTCACCTCACATTAATTAATAAATTTGATTGTTCATTTATAATAACTCGTATAATAAATTAATGGGATTTAGAAATCTTATGTTATTGTACTATTTTTTTTTTTTTTTGTAGTTGAGACAATAAAAATGTCCGACCATAATATTTTTTTTCTCTTTCTTCATCTCACTCATTCTCTCTTCTTTATTATTTCAGCTGCAAAAAAAAAATTTGATACAGCTACATAAAATTTATAAACCCCAAAATTAATTTGGTAGTTCATGGAGGTAAAGTTATTAAAAAACTTTACAAATTCTCTTCACAACATGCACTTTTTTTTACTTTTTTGTACAGAATAAAATTTCTTCTAAAACAAGTTTATCTCATAAACAAATAAGTAAGAATATAACCGCCATTAATTTAAAATACACTGATAACTCCGGACATTAAAGTTAG